ATCAGGCCTCATGCAAATCAACCGGTTAATCAACCTGTAGGAATTCCGTATGATCCCAATGTCATGTTGAGGAATCAGATTATGGAAATCGTGCAGGATCAGATGGCTTTTGGGGTGCGTCCCGTCATTAGGCCGACGTACACAAAGCCATATCCTGATTGGGCAGACCAAGCATATCCATGGCCTAGAGGATACAAAGTGCCATAATTCTCGCTGTTTACCGGTTTAGGAGAGGTGTCTACTCTAGAACACATAGGGCGATTCACATTGCAAAGTGGTGATGTAACCGATTACCATAAAATGAGACTTTTCCCTAGTTCGTTAACAGGAGTAGCTTTCTCCTGGTTCATCAACTTGCCAGCGAACTCTGTTCAAACATGGCAACAATTGGAACAGTTGTTTCACGCTCAGTTTTATAAAACTGAGTCTGAAGTCACTTTGGCCGACTTGGCGAATTTACGTCAAATGCCAAATGAATGGACAGAAAGTTTTCTCCAAAGGTTCAAGACAGCAAGAAGCAAGTGTTTTGTACCTCTGCCCGAAAAAGAATTTGTCAAGATCGCTCAAGGCTGCTTGAGATTTGATTTAAAAAAGAAGTTCCAGGACAAGGAATTTCCTGACCTTTTCCAGTTGAGTGCGAATGTGATTAGGTATGAGCGACTGATAAGAGAGGAAGAACAAATGAAAAATTCTAGTAAAGGGACTTATTACAAAGACCCAAATTTTGACGTTCATACCATCGACGACGAGTCATACGATCAGGCCGAAATGTGTTTGGCCGAATTGGTCAAAGGGGATACATATACTTGTCCCATAATGGCCAAGCCTAGAAAATCGGGCAAAGATGAGCCCATAAAGGATGGAAACATAAAGGCTAAAACGTTCTTGCTCGACGTGAACAAAGCTGACCTTATACTCGATAAATTATATAGGGATAAGCAGATAAAGTTGAGCGATAAGTACAAATTGCCAAACCCTGAACAAATTAAGGGTAAAAAATATTGTAAATGGCATAATGCATGGTCACATTTGACTAATAATTGTTTGGTTTTCCGTCATGTATTGCAGGATGCCATTGGATCAGGATGAATTACGTTCGATGATAAGAAAAAGATGGCAGTGGACGAGAATCCTTTCCCACAGCCACTTGGAGTAAACATGGTGACATCTGGATTTAAAAACAAGTTGCCAAAATTCAAGTTGGTCGTAGATGATGGAGAAGAAGATCCTAGACCACATCCCAGCGTCTTTGAACGAATCAAGGGGAAAGAACCAAAAAAGGACGGAGACATCTTATGTGCAAGGTGTAAAAGAGAAGTAAATGGAAACACGGAGAAGCCCCCATGGCAGCATCCTCATCGCCCTACCTTCTTTCCAAACACTCAGCCTGGTAGGGGGCGAGGTACATCATTCTATAGAGGACCGCCTTTTGAAAGGCAGTGCCGGCCAACAGATAATGGAAGAACATTCAGGCCGCAACCTCGTTGGCCAAATGTATGGCATTCATTCCAGTACAGTGCAGGAAGGGCAATACCCTTCGATGAGATGACTAGGACCTAACAAAGGCGTTTTCAACGAAACTACGGACGGATGATGAGGCAGCAACAGGGAATGCCACATCCTAAAGAACCTAAACTACTCAAGGTAGCAAATCAAAATGTCCTCAAAAATAGTGAAGAGACCGGTACAGATGAATCAATGAAGGAACTGCCAGAAACTTCTTCTAGGAGATCAAGGTTTGAGCGAGACAGAAGGGATGAAGAAGATCCAGATCAGCCCCTTGCTATCCAATTCGGTACGTTGCCTCCTGTAGTGGCCAATAATTACCTA